AGATATTTTAAAAGAAAACTATGAGAACTCTTTTTAGAATTGGCAAAATTAACTAGAATATTATATAAAATTTAATAAAAAATACTTTAAAGAAATAAAGTAATTATATTGATAATTATTATAATAATTCTAAAATAAATATTCACATTTAAAACTTTTCAGTTTCCTTATATATAGTGCAAGTTAATATAATATATCTCTTTATTTATGGTATTTAATTTATTATAATAATAGATTCATTATATTAATTCAAAATTAATTATTTGTATTAATACAAGAGTCTAATCTTTTTGTTTACTATAATATAAATCTATTATATTGATTATCTATTATATCAACTTGTATTATATATATAATTTATATTATTATACTAACTAATATTTTAATTAAAAAATACTAATAATAATATAAGAATATTATTCAAATTATTTATTAAAAATTAAAAATATTATTTATCATAAGCTTAAATTTTTATTAATCAGAAAAAGTATTTTTATTATTAGTAAAAAAAGATATATCTTTGTCATAAACTTATTGAAATAGTTTTTATTGAACAAAATTTTAAAAAAAATAGTATAAGAATATTAAACTTATATATATATGAATTATATTATTATAAAAAATAAGAAATAATTTATTTAAAATAAATAAGTAATTACTTGATAAATTAAATAAATTACTAATTAATTAATTAATTAATTAACTAAATGTAATTAATTATTCTAAGTAATCTAAAATTTATATAATAACATAATTATATATAAATTATTTTTATTAATATACTTTCTTACTAATTATATTTAGTAAATATTATTATAATTATTATCAATTTTATTAAAAAGAAGAGCTAATTCAGAAATATAAAAAAAATAATTATTTCAAAAGAAATCTTAAAATTTTAAAAGTATAATATTAAAATAACAAGTCAAAACTTGTTATTTTAGATTAAAAAAAATTAATTTATTTAAAAATATTAATTATATAATATTTCAAATAATAAACCTTTAAAAGCAAAGATTTTATTTGAATTTTATAATTTATCAATTACTAAATATATTGAAATTGATATTATTTTCAATAATTTATTGACTAAAGATAAATAAAAATATTCATAAATATATAATTATTTTGTTAATATAATAAAAATAATGATTGATTATTTTTGAATTACTTATTATATTATAATATAAATAAGAATAAGTTATTATAAACTTTATTATTAATTCTTTATTATTAAATCTGAATATAATGTATCAATAATATTTATAAATAAACTTTTAAAGAGAACTTATCTTACATCAATATATAATGATTGGTTGAAAACACGTGATTACGAGAAAATCTCTTGGGAATACACCATTACGGGATTAGTGATAATAATAATGCAAAAATTGCGAAATTACAATATAAAAGCGAAATAAAATAGAGCATTATTAATCTATTTATTATTATTCCGAAGTATTGCGATCAAGCATTACCTTTTAAGGTAGAAACTAGCGACTCCAAAAAGAAGAGATCGGCTAGTGCAATTCGATAGGTGATTGAATTTGTGTTTTGACGTTATAACGGACGTGTTAGTCGAATCGCGAAAAGAATACCCGTGATTGTTCAATCTCCCGATAGATTCCCAGCAATGAGGTCACCGCCTTTACATGTAAAATCACATCCTTTGCAAATCATGCATATTCTGCATTTGGACACTCTATATATAATTATAAGAACCTTACGGTACAAATGGCCAACACCTCTCCCCAATACCAACAATAATGAGAATGATAGTGAACAAAATCAGATATAATACCGAATTATTCGACGTGAATATTACCTGCGATCTTGATTTTTCTTGATCTTAAACTATATTATGTATCGTTTTCGTGGTGAATTATAGAAATTCGAGTTCTAATTATCATCGTCAGTATGTGATATTCTAAGGAAGCTGCAGTCGTTCTTCCAATTCATGAATTATTGACATTCGTGTTTTCATTTCATTCCTGTCGTTTTCTTTGTTGTCGACGATTGATGGTCCAATAATTACGCTCCAGTGGTTCTTATGGCAAGCGATAATACCTCTTCGTTCGTTTCTTTCTTTTCCAAGTTTCGCGCCGCGAATTTTTTAGTTGTCGTTTTTCCCATCGCGAATTACCAACGTTTGCGTTCTATTTTGTCGGTTTCTAGCTTTTCGATCGTTGCTGTCGCCTGCTGAATGGCATGCTAAGTGAGTGATGGAATTAGTGTTGGTGATGTTCAATTTGTTAATTGTGCTTTCCAACTACTATAGTTAGTAAGCTTCTCCACTTTCAACGTTATTACAGTGATGAACGTTTCGGGCGGTTCTAACTTGCCGAATTGCCAGGTAAGTTTCTGATAAAAATTCCTCTTGGACTTTAAATAGACTCTTTGATGACTCACTGGGCAGCGTTTGTTGTGAATGGCTGGTTCCAATTAGACGGCAACAGCAACAGTTATTCCCATTTCGCCATTGCTAACTCTTCGAACATTCTTAACCCTAAATTGATACACATATGGGTTGCGCATTCTTATTGGTTTGTTATTATGTGGTTAGGAACCGAGAATGGATATACCCACATGATTGATAGCGTGTCAATTAACGTCAAAATCTAGCGTATATCTCCGACGGTTTAATTAATGTCCCAAACTAAATTTAGGCATTTGTTTTTTTTTAGTGTTTATAACAAAATTTTGGGATGATAGGCAAACCTTTGTCAATAATCTTCTGCACTTACGATATTCAATTTCGGAATAACACCTGATTAGCGAAACACATGAGACAGGTTACGCTAAACTAAATTTAACCAATTATTTTTTCTCACTTGAAATTCACAATTCAAGTCAAACATGTGATCAAAAAAGCAAAGTTTCGAATATATCGTGATAATTCAAAAATTTTTCGCAGGTGCCTGATGTAAAAATTCCGGTTTGTTAAAACATAACAACAGTTTCATAAGCAAAACTTCGAGATACAAGCTATCTTTCAAAGATAAGCGCCACATTTTGATCGTGAAGTATCAAAAACGTAACTTTTACGATACTGAGCATCCAAAAATTTTAACGGAAGTTACATGTAAAATTGCTTCTGACAATTTTTTATTTCGTGCTCTGAGCAAGATTTATATATCTGCTTTCCATTTTTTTTTCGGATTGATAAAAATTTGCTACCAGCGTGTAATATACGTCACATCCGCGTATTGGCGCTGACACATTTTTCAATTATCGGATGAGATTCAGAAGTATAACGAAGATTTTCACTAATTACCTGAATTCTTGATCGAAGTATTATTGGTATAATGAAGATTTTTACTAATTACCCAAAAACCTTCATGTACATGTATTGATATTGCCTATTTATAGTAATATTCTTTAAATAATATAAATAAAAATATTTTTATCTGGGATGATCTTACATTAATTGAGTTCCCAACAAGATTGAAAACTTGCTTTCAAAGAACGAACAAGAAGGGTCCATAACCAGTAGTAACAGCTGATTGATGAGTAACCACTACATGTATATGCAACTCTATAAAAGGCATCTGTCGTTAATGTTATTATGTAATTTATTTACATATTTTACATATGTTGTAAGTAGAAGCGGTGGGCCATGACATCTGATCCAAATTAAAAATAAGGTTAGTACTAGGTTTGATGTTAGAGTTCAGACGAAAATTTCTAAATGGAGTTTTGATTTTACAATATTCCAATTTCTTCATACATTATTTGCCGGTTTCTTTTAGAACCTGCATAAGTGTGTCGATTATTTGTTTGGTAATAAAGTTAAGTTCGCAGAAACCTGAAATCAAGAATTCCATATCAATCATTCTGTTATTCCCACTTATCAAATACATTATCGTTATACATGTAGTAAGAGATAAATAAGTAACTCAAATTTGAGAAAATTTCTTTTACTGAACGGGAAAATCACGTGAGATTTTTTTAAAGGAAAATTGTAATGAATGAACCCTATTCCAAAATTAGTAAATTCGGATCATTCTTTGATAAGTCAGTAAGAGTAAAAACATCTACCCTGCATGATTGTATCCTTTTCTAAAGAAACTATTGCAGCTGTTTTATGCACTTTTTTTGATATATACAGCGAAAATTTTTTTACAAAAATGTAGCATACAAAAAAGTTTTTCTATGATGATGAAACAATCATTCTGGCGTGGGCCTTTTGTTTAAATATCACGGTGAATTGTTTGCAAAGTACATGTATATGTAATGTCAACACCGAGAAATATAAAATATGCTCGTATCTGCGAGTCCTCGCTTCTAGTTACACATTTTATAAACGCGACAGCAACGAGCTTGCGATGCATACTGATTATATAAAAAGTATTTTAAGGAAACAATATTGATATCATTCATTGACACGCCTTTCTTTTAATTAAATTCTGTATTACTATTTAATTATGCATTATTTGTTCAGGTACGTCTCAGCCGTAATCATATTATCTAATCTTGTCCCGGGTCAATCCGAAAGGGTCCTTCTTATAATTGCATCTAATCACAAAAAAATTTTTTTTGAATGATCAACAACGGTAGATCAGTTTGTGATTTATCCACCCAATTGGGAAAGACTAACTGCGCGCAGATCGACAGCATAGCCCAGACAGGATTTCGAAATAAAATTTATATAACACCACATTAATCTAATTTAGTTTATTCTTTAGCATTGAGAACCCCTAATAAAAATGACCAAAAAAAGCCAGTTACCACGGGTTCCGACTCTCAAAAAAAAGTGTATATGCCTAGTTTTCTGTCAACCGCCCGTCTTACAACTACATGTATTTATGATAAAACCGTTCGTGGGAGCATTTATTACTCGTTTTACTGCAGTGATTTCTTCCTTCTTGAATTAGGACATATATTCTTTCAAGAATTATCACGTAAACCACAAATGCCACATTAAAAAAGGAACAACTATAAAAAAACGCACATTAACGCACGCACATTATAAAAAATAGATTCATAGAAGAAATAAAATCATGAATTCTCGAACCCACATTAAACGACTTAAAGTTACTGCAGCTTGTTTTAATTGTCGTAAAAAAAAGGTAAAGTGTTCCGGGCCAAGTGTGTGTGATCGTTGTAGCAGGTTAAACTTGTCATGTCAATTTGATGCAAGACCCCAAAAACGGGGCCCTCAGCGAGGTAATGCGGATGTGATAAAAACGAAAGCAAACCGAGTCGAGGATTTGTTTGACACTATCTCTGAAGATTATTTGAGTTTAAAGGAAAAAGAAATAAAAAATCAAGTTTTAGAATCAATTGATGGCATACCAGCAGACGTCGTCAGAGAAATTGAAGCTTCAAAAAATTCGATGAAATTCCACAATCCTTATGATAACCAAGGTAGTTTGACATCGTACATAATTCAAACTGACGTATTTATCAAAAATTTAGCCAATTCACTAAATCTTTTGTTTTTTTTTAACACATCAAAGATCTTTACGCTACTCTTCCTCGACTGGTGATCCCGCTTCAAAATCACATCATAATGAAACAGGTTTGTGTACTGCCATAAAATCACGCGACCTAGAGATATAATCGTTAATTTATCCATTTTTCTCCAGCTGACTTGCGCAAAATGCGCACCAGAAAATTCAAATGAAATTCCTCTACCAGAAAATCAGATCTATCAACAACCCGGATTTTCTCAACAACTTCTTCCTCCGATATTACCAAATCAAATCTTACCACAATCGCCATTACAGCCAATATCAACAATCACATCAACATCAATAACCAACATTCAATCATCGTTGGAAGATTTATCACCAATAGAACTAATGAATAATGGTTTTTACCTTGTACCATTTTTGCCATCGCCAGATGAAATGCTCCGTGGTAGTGTTCCTGCACCTGATTTTTTCATTAATGATGAAGAACTATCAACTACGAATATGTAATGCAAAATTCACCTACCAATGCTAATTCCGGTCTAAATAGTAATTATGACTATGATTGTAATTATTATTATAATAATAATAATAGTAGTAATAATAATAATAATAATAATAATAATAATAATAATAATAATAATAATAATAATAATAATAATAATAA